CCTTGCACCACTGAAATCTGTATCTTTAAATTCCCTTTTATGGTAAATGGCCCTGGGGCACACTGACAGAAGCAAGGATGCCATACACAGGCACCACCGGACCCTCTGACCACCATCAGTAGGCAAGGCGGGTAAGGTGTCTTGCCCAAGGACACAACGACTGAGTCGACTGGACGGGGATCGAACCGGCAACCTTCCGGTTCCAGGACGACTCCCCTAACCACTCTACCAGTTCAATAGTATCTTAATTACCCACTATTTGCCAAAAAAAATGCCAACTGTATTTTTACAGTCACCTAATTACCAAGTTATTATAAAGTGTATACTTAGAAAATTACTATGTAAATAAACTAATTTAGTGATCTTAATAGTACATCAACTACCCGGGGTTTACTAAGAAACTACCAACTAAATTTCAACATAACGTACAAATATAGTCCCTAATTACCATGCCATTACCAGTAAACTACTATGTTAGTAAAACTACTTTTATTGGGTAACTACAATAAAATTACTGTTCAGTAGTACCTCCATTAAATATTATTAACCAAAAGAATACAAACATATAGAAACATATGTTCTTACCAAGTAATTACATAATAAAGTATTGTAATTACCAAGTAATTGCACATACTTAGCATGTAAATACTAGGAAATTGCATGGTGATTAGGGGACTATAAAAGAAAGGGTTACCATATATAAATTTTTAGCAAATACATCAAATTACAAATGGATCTGTTTAAACCAGTTTGATGAAATGGCCAAAAAGCTAAAGAACCTCTTTTCATTAAAGGGATATTCTGGTCATTTTTAAAGTGTTCCGTTTAATAGTTATGACCTCATGACATGACATCAATCATAGAACTCAAATTATGAAGAAATGGATAAGAGCCAAACAAATGTTTGCATTTTTTCAAACATGATACACCAGTGGGAACAAAAGAACAATACATTAACTGATATTAAACCTTTATGTCGTTGCCTGACAAAGTTTGATTAGTTTTTCACCGTATAGTTTACACATTTTCATCACTATTTTTTGACAAGTATTAATCCTCAGTGTGGCGTGCCTCGCTTCTCTCATTCTCAGACAGTAAAACCCGTCAGTTTTCCAGCGGCGCGTCGGCCCCCAAACCAAACTTGTCTTTGTCTCTGAGCTGCAAAGAAAACAGTGGAGCCAGTGGCCACAGCTCGTCTCCCTTCTCCCTCTCAGGTGAGACTCAATGTTTGCAGCGAAGAAGCTCTGCTGGGATGAAGCTCATGCCGCCTATTTGTGCACAAATAAAATACTAAACTTTTTCAAATGCATGTGACTGAAAGCTGCAGGGTCTAAACTTGTGTTGTTGTATGAAGATAAAATGACTTTCTATGCTCACCAAAGGGTTCCTGCGTTTAATGCTATATGCTGGCAGGTTTATGTTGTTGCCATAGGGACAGGATGTGGTGGATAAGCTATGTCATTACTGAGGTCAGCGTGATCTGATGCCTAAATTACTACACTGCATTCATCTGTTTGAGCCTGTTCAAGAAAAAAAAAATCCCTGTGTACAATGTCATTTGATGGCTGCGATTCTTTGCACTTTTTGCTTATCATAAATTTTTGAATAGTAGATATTTTATTTATTTGCTAAGACTATATATTTAATGGCAGCAATGTTCACGAGATTATTAAGACTATAAGACAGATTCTGCTTCTCATGAAGGAGATGTTGATCTTCTCTAACGTCTCACAACAAAAACAGCTTTTCCTAATTCACACCAATAAAAGCTTCTGGATTAATCCTTAATCTCCACACTGCTGATCTGCAGTCATCTTAAACATGAAAGTGTGGTACAGTTTGAAAATCAGATCAAGGGCGTAACTTTAGGTCTACCATTGGGGTGGGG